TAACAACAACACAATAATAGTAGAGGACTTTAACACGCCACTTACATCAATGGATAGATCATCAACAAGGAAATACTGGATTTAAAAGAAAAACTACACCAGATGGACTTAACAGATATATATAAAACACTCCATCTGAAAACAGCAGCATACACATTCTTCTCAAGTGCACATGGAACATTTTGAAGGATAGACCATATGTTGGGAAACAAGGCAAGCCTCAATAAATTTAAGGAGATTGAAATCATATCAAGCATCTTTTCTGACCATAATGCTATGAAACTAGAAATCAACTACAAGAAAAAAGCTGGGAAGGTGGCAAATATGTGGAGACTAAACAACATGCTACTGAACAACCAATGGATGATTGAAGAAATTAAAGGAGAAAAACCAAAACATATGCAGAGACAAATGAAAATGAAAATACACCATACCAACCCATATGGGATGCAGCAGTTTGCTAAATGGTCCTAAGAGGGAAACTCATAGCAATACAAGCCCACCTTAAACAAGAAAAATCTCAAATAACCAATCTTAAACTACACTTAACAGAATTAGAAAAAGAAGAACAAAGCCTAAAGTCAGCAAAAGGAGGGAAATAATAAAAATTAGAGCAGAAATAAATGAAATTGAAACAAACAAAAAAAACAGTAGAAAGCATCAATGAAACTAAGAGCTGGTTCTTTGAGAAGATAAACAAAATTGACAAATGCTTAGCCAGACTCACTAAGAAAAAAAGAAAGAAGGCTCAATAAATAAAATTAGAAATGAAAGAGGAGAAATTACAACAGATATCACAGAAATACAAAGGATTATAAGAAAATACTATGAAAAACTACATGCCAACAAACTGGACAACCTAGAAGAAACGGATAAATTCTCAGACTCATACAACCTCCCAAAACTGAATCAAGAAGAAACAGAGAATCTGAACAGGTCAATCACAAGTAAAGAGATTGAAACAGTAATCAAAAACTTTCCCAAAAATAAAAGTCCAGCACCAGATGGCTTCTCTGGAGAATTCTACCAAACATTCAAAGACTTAATACCTATCCTTCTCAAACTATTCCAAAATATTGAGGAAGATGGAACACTTCCTAACACATTCTACAAGGCCAACATCACCCTGATCCCAAAGCCAGACAAGTACAACACAAAGAAGGAAAATTACAGGCCAATATTGATGATGAACATAGATGCAAAAATCATCAACAAAATATTGGCAAACTGAATACAGCAATACATCAAAAAGATCATATACCATGATAAAGTGGGATTTACATGAGGGACAGAGGGATGGTTCAACATCCACAAATCAATGTGATATACCACATTAACAAAATAAGTGATAAAAATTACACAATCATCTCAATAGATGCAGAGAAAGCATGTGACAAGATCCAACATCCATTTATGATAAAAATTCTCAATAAAATGAGTATAGAAGGAAAGTACCTCAACATAATAAAAGCCATATATGACAAACCCACAGCCAACATCATACTCAATGGAGAAAAACTGAAAGCCATTCCTCTGAGAACAGGAACAAGACAAGGGTGGGTGCCCACTCACGCCACTTATTCAACATAGTACTGGAGGTTTTGCCCTGAGCAAGTAGGCAAGAAAAAAGAAATAAAAGGAGTCCAAATAGGCAATGAAGAAGTGAAACTCTCGCTGTTTGCAGACGACATGATTTTATATATCCCTAAAGAATTTTATATATAACCCTAAAGAATTGATCGGAAAACTATTAGAAATAATTAACAACTACAGAAAAATTGCAGGGTACAAAATCAACTTACAAAAATCAGTTGCATTTCTATACTCTAATAACAAACTAACGGAAAGAGAAATCAAGAATATAATCCCATTTACAATCGCAACAAAAAGAATAAAATATCTAGGAATGAATTTAACCAAGGAGGTGAAAGACCTATACAATGAAAACTATAAGACATTATTGAAAGAAATCGATGATGACATAAAGAAATGGAAAGATATTCCATGCACATGAATTGGAAGAATAAATATAGTTAAAATGTCCATTCTACTGAAAGCAATCTACAGATTCAGTGCCATCCCAATCAGAATCCCAATGACATTCTTCATGGAAAGAGAACAAAGAATCCTAAAATTCACATGGGGCAACAAAACACCTTGAATAGCTAAAGCAACCCTGAGAAAAAAGAATAAAGCGGGAGGCATCACAATCTCTGACTTCAAAATATACTACAAAGCTATAGTAATCAAAACAGCATGGTATTGGCCCAAAAACAGACACACAGATCAATGGAACAGAATTGAAGGCCCAGAAATAAAAGCACACATCTGTGAACAGCTAATTTTCGAAAAAGGAGCTAAGAACATACAATGGAGAAAGGAAAGTCTCTTCAATAAATGGTGTTGGGAAAACTGGACAGCCACATGCAAAAGAATGCAAGTAGACCATTATCTTTCGCCATACACAAAAATTAACTCAAACTGGATCAAAGACTTGAAGGAAAGACCTGAAACCATAAAACTCCTAGAAGAAAATATAGACAGTACATTCTTTGACATCGGTATTAGAAGGATCTTTTCGAATACCATATCTACTAGGACAAGGGAAACAAAAGAAAAAATAAACAAGTGGGACTTCATCAGACTTCAGAGTTTCTGCAAGGCAAAGGAAACCAGGAACAAAATGAAAAGACAACCCACCAACTGGGAGAAAATATTTGCAAATCATATATCCAACAAAGGGTTAATCCTCAAAATACATAAAGAACTCACAAAACTGAACAACAAAAAGACAAACAACCTGATCAAAAAATGGGCAGAGACTATGAACAGACTTTTTTCCAAAGAAGATATACAGTTAGCCAATAGGTGCATGAAAAGATGTTCACCATCACTAATCATCAGGGAAATGCAAATCAAAACTATACTAAGATATCACCTTACACCCGTTAGAATGGCTATAATCACCAAGACAAAAAATAACAAATGTTGGAGAGGATGTGGAGAAAAGGGAACCCTCAATACACTGCTGGTGGGAATGCAAACTGGTGCAGCCACTACGGAGAACAGTATGGAGATTTCTCAAAAAATTAAAAAGAGAAATACCATATGACTCAGCTATCCCACTACTGGGTATCTATCCAAAGAACTTGAAATCAACAATTCAAAGAAACTATGCACCCCTATGTTCAATGCAGCATTATTCACTATAGCCAAGAAGTGAAGCAACCCAAGTGCCCACTGACTGATAATTGGATAAAGATGTGGTATATATATACAACAGAATACTATTCAGCCATAAAAGAGACAAAATCATCCCATTTGCAACAACATGGATGGACCTTGACGGTATTAGGTTAAGCAAAATAAGCCAGACAGAGAAAGACAAACACCGTATGATTTCACTCATATGTGGGAGATAAACTAACACACGGACAAAGAGAACAATTTAGTGGTTACCAAATGGGAAGGGAGCTGGGTGGCAGGCACAAGGGATGAAGGGGCACATTTATATGGTGATTGACGAATAATAATGTACCACTGAAATTTCACAATCTTATAAACTATTATGACCTCAATAAAAGAAAAAAAACTAACCAATTACAAAGGGAAAATGGTAATGATAACAGACACGGTGACTTGATGGCAAGTGATCAAGGTTAACCGGTGGTGGAACAGGTGAACATCAAGTGCCCAAGGATGGGATGCAATGCACATCTGTGTTGTGGTTTCCTGCCAAGCATGTCCTGATTATGAAGGAAGATTGGATGGACCCAGCTCGAGAGTCATCCTAGATTTTAAGGCCTGTAATCTTCAAACCTGTTGAGTTCACGAAAGACAGGGAAAGACTGAGGGCCTGTTCCAGACTGAAGGAGACTGAAAGGAACATGACCTCTAAATGATTGGTGATCTGAGACCAAATATGAAAAAGACACATTGTTGGGACTTTTGGCAAAATTATTTCAACTTATTTTGAAAAGGAAAAAATGAAAATTAAACGCCTGCAAATTTGATAATGTTATATACAAGTTCACTTATAATCAAAGACTAGGGAAAAATGCCCCAGAAGACATGCATCTTGTTACAAATGAGGCAATTTGGGGATGATCTTAAGCTTCGTATGTATATCCCCATTTTGGCATTTATTTTGTTGTTTTGCAAATATTTGGTACTTGCTTGTTACCCCACAAGACTATACTGGAAGAGGAATTTTTGCTTGATTTATCAAGACCCCAGATTCCATCCTCATCATGACTATCATCCTCACAGCCCTCCTAATCACTCTCACTTATTCAAAGATGATTTTAGCAAGCAGATCCTAGACTGTTCGCCCCAAGCTCTGCTGGCATACTGGATATCTTCAATGCTCATTAACTAACTCCTAGTTAGTCAGCTAACTCCTTTTCTTTTGGATTCGTGACCTCTTCAGTTCCAATTCATCCACTTACTTCCCATTTTACATCTCAGACCTTGTCATCACCAGCATCTGCTGCAAAAGCTGTAACTCTATGCCACCATGCTCTCATCTATAAAATAAGGAACCTGGCCAGATATGAATAATCCTCATGTCTCCAGTGACTACCATGTACAGGCACTGTGAGGTAGGTATTATTATTACGCCCAATTTACAGACAATAAAACTAAAAATGTTAAGTCCAAAGACATAAAACTAATGACTGATAAATCCAGGATTCAAATCTAGAGTCTCTGGTGCTCTTACCTCTATTATACTGCATTCTTTATAGGATCTATAAAGGAACTTTCCAGCTTAAACCTTCCGACATTCACTGAAAAAGGAATGAGCTAAGGTAGAGAAGAGAGTAACTGTACTTATAAATTATAATGCTGAGTTTGTTAGTGTGAGGTTTCTTACACTGATAATTTCTGTTTTAAAGTGATTTACACATAAACGTTTCTCATTTTAGTCCCAAATTAATTACCAAAGGAAGAAATGCGGAAAGATCCTTAACAATGGAACAAAAAAATTGAAACACACTCACAAGCTCTCCATAACGTGCAGCTGAAATCATACGTGGAGGAAAATTCCCTGTGCTGCTGAAACATAATCCCCCTGTCTTCGTAAATAAATAAGAAAAAAAATTCCATAAAATTCCAGTATATGGAAAGGTATAAGCAATTTAATTTTAAAATATATACTTTATCAATTTGATTAGCCTTACTAAAATGTTAGGGTCTGAACATGCACAGGATCTGCTGATATTGATGAATGTTGGTTCACATCGAACACATCTGTCAATATAACAAAGATAATTTTTAAAATGTTAACGAATTATACTAAACCTAATCGAGAACTTGTCTTCCTAAATGCTGGATTAGAATAGATTCATTCAGCTAAGCTATTACTTGTAATAAAGTGAACAAATTAAAAATATTAACACTGATTTGAATAGTTTTATACCACTCTTTGTATTACAAAGGAAGGTCTAAATAATGAAATTAACCAACAATAGGAGAGTATTCTTTTGAAACCACTTGGAATGTACAGAATAAATAATACTGAATAGCAAAGTTTGCTAAGTCACTCAATTAACAAAAGAGCCAAAGAAATTCATATAAGTGAAACCCAATTCATTTTTATAAGTAGTTATACCAAAAATACTTTTCTTAAATACTTTGCCACAAAGCAAAAACATAATATAAGCTGAAAAGATACATGTATCGATCCCCTCATCAAATCTACAACCAATACTCTTTAAAGTCTATTCATCATCTTTGTTAATTTGAGGAAAATAGTTTATATTTTTCATTAATGAAGGATATATAGAGAGGGCGGGCACTGGACTAGTGGGGAAACAGATGGGTTTATATGAATGTTCATTACTTGCAAGATAGAGCAGGTAGGAGGAGGGGCTGGGGCACGGCACAGAACTCAAACTGGGCTTGGGAAGGTACTGAAGGGGAAGAATTGGGGATCAGCCCAGTAATCAGTATTTGGATGCTACAACCCAGGTCAGGCTGAAAGAAAAGATAATCCAACACTAAGTATCTCCAGAAGAAGCTGCTCAAGTATTTTCTATCTTAAACTTGGGAATCAAAGAGAAAACTGTGCTTAGAGGGAAGTCATCATGTAGGCATCTAAAAAAATTGAAGAAGTTGAAATAGGGATAATGTGTTTGTGTCAGAAAGAGGGAGGGGTGTATGTGTGTGGTGTGCACATATGCATGAATAAATGGGCAACAGGAAGTGATAGAGAATAGGGCTATAAATCAGGTTACTTGGGTTACTACAATTACGATTATATTTATTAATATGCTTTTTTATATAACATAATACTATATAAAGCACAGTACCTGGCACACAGTAAGTATATGGCAAACAGAAGTTACTATTATATACTATACATCATATTATAGATGATGTACAAATTACATAATAACAAACAAAAATAGCTACAGTAGTCCTCCCTTCTCCACGAGGGACACATTCCAAGACGCTCAGTGGACGCCTGAAACCGCAGATAGTACCGAACCCTATACAGTCACATGCTGCATAACAACATTTCAGTCAACGACAGACTGCATATATGACAGTGGTCCCATAAGATTAGCCTAGGTGTGTAGTAGGCTATATCATTTAGGTTTGTGTAAGTACACTCTATGATGTTTACACAATGACGAAATCGCCTAACGATGCATTACTCAGAATGTATCCCCATCATTAAGTGATGCATGACTGTATATACTATGTTTTTTCCTGTACGCACACACCTATGATAAAGTCTAATTTATAAATTAGGCATAGTAAGAGATTAACAACAATAACTAATAAGAAAATAGAACAATTATAACAATATACAGTAATAAATGTTACCGTAGATCTCAGCAACCTCAGCATGTAACTTCTTTTCCTTCCTTATTAAGTCAAGAACTTTCACCTTTTCACTTAAAGGAAGCACTTTACACCTTCTCTTTGGCGTATCCAAATTGCCAGCATCACCGCTCTTGTGCTTTGGGGCCATTATTAAGTACAATAAGGGGTACTTGAACACAAGCACTGCGATACCGTGACAGTAGATCTGAGAACCAAGACAGTTACTAAGTGACTAATGGATAGGCAGTGCATACAGTGTGGATACGCTGGACAAGGGGATGATTCACATCCCAAGCAGATTGAAGCAGAACAGCATGAGATTTCACTTCTCAGAACTGTGCCAATTTAAAACATGTGAATTGTTTATTTCTGGAATTTTCCATTTAATATTTTCAGACCGTGGTTGACCGCGGATAACTGAAACAAGGCAAGTGAAACTGCGGATAGGGGGGACTACTGTACCTTTTACTGAGCACTTACTCTGTAGCACTATGCTAGGACCTTTACATATTTATTTCTGAGCTGTGATAACAGCCATGAAGTGGGTGGTATATCCCCATTCCAAAGACAAGCGCTGACTTACTGAGCTGTCCAAGGTAAAACAACTAATAAGAGATGGAGCCAAGATTTGAACTGTATTCTGTCTCATTCTCTGGGGTTCAGCTTTTTTATCTGTTAATGCTACTTCTATCCTTCCTTGGGTTATTGTGAGGAGCAAGTGACATGATAGGAAAGTACTTTACAAAGGTATAGATTCTACATAAACACAAGATATTAAAAAAGTCAGCACCCAGCACACTGCTTACCTGTCTCCTACAGCATTTGCTACCGTAAAAGAGTTTTCATTTTCATCACAGAGCTTACAAGTTGCTTGAGACAACAACGTTCCATTAGTATCTCTTTCCACTAAATAATTTAGAAACAAAATTAAGATGTAACTCACAGTCAACATATAAGCTTCCATGTACTTAGTAAAACCCATTTGTAATTATTATTCTCATAATTCTCGAAATATCTTATTTGCATAAAAGGCATGTCAAGAATCTCCATGATAAAGTATAGAAAAGCGAAGCCTCTTAGCGGTTAAGTGCATGCACTCCGCTACTGGCGGCCCGGGTTCAGATCCCAGGCACGCACCGACCCACCGCTTGTCGGGCCATGCTGAGGCGGCGTCCCACATACAGCAACTTGCAGGATGTGCAACTATGACATACAACTATCTACTGGGGCTTTGGGGAGAAAAATGGAAAAAAAAAAAAAGGAGGGGCAATAGATGTTAGCTCAGGGCCAGTCTTAAAAAAAAAAAAGAGGAGGATTAGCATGGATGTTAGCTCAGGGCTGATCTCCCTCACAAAAAAATAAAAATAAAAAAAAAAAGAAAAGTGAAGCCTCCCCCATTCCCACATAAAAAAATACAGAAACTAATTTTCCAAATCATCATAATAATAAATTAATATTTTTTCCTCCAAAATTTTCTTAGCTCTTACCTGTATGTTCCTGTTATACTGGGTATGAGGAGAAAAGTATTTTCAGAGACTGCTGATAAGTTTCTGCAACTTAGAGGGCTTTTGGTAGTATCTATTAAAATTTTAAATTCACATACCCTACAACACTATGACTTCATTTTTAGATACCTAACCTACAGAAACACTTGTACATGTGTATAAGGATATTCATCAAAGCATTATTTGTTAGAAAACAACCTAAATACTTAAAATAGCAAAATGGTGGTATATCCATGCTGTGAAACTATGGAGTGGATTAAAAAGAATGAGGTAGATCTAACAGGTCATAATGTTAAGTGAAAAAACTATACTGTAGAACAATATTTTTGGTATGAAACATTTATTAAAATACCACTTATATTTCCTGTGGCCACAATGTATATCTGTATGTTAAAAACAGGAAAAAAAAAGATTCCAGAAGGACACACTCTCACACACACACACACCCCAAAATGGTAACAATTACTTTGGGGCTGAGGGAGTAAAAAAGAATCAGCATTGGGAAAAATGGTCAAAGATCATTAGTCTCAATGATAATGTTATCCATAATGTTTTATCCATAATGTTTTAAGTTTTTGCAAGGTGGTAAAAATTATTTTAACAAAAGGTGAACAACTTGCTCCTCCTACAGTCATCCCCATTTCAGTAAATGGCAACTCCATTTGACTATTTACTCAGGCCACAGTACTTAGAGTCTCTCTCCTCTTTTCTTCTCATGCTCCACATCAAAAAATAAAATTAAAACTAAAAAGCAGGGGCCTGACCCATGGCATGGTGGTTAAGTTCACTCGCTCTGCTTTGGTGGCCTGGGGTTCACCTGGTTCAGATCCTGGGTGCAGACCTACGCATTGCTCATCAAGCCATGCTGTGGCGGCGTCCCACATACAAAATAGACGAAGACTGGCACAGATGTTAGCTCAGGGGCAATCTTCCTCAAGCAAGAAGAGGAAGATTGCAACAGATGTTCGCTCAGAGCAAATCTTCCTCAGCAAAACAAATAAATAAATAAAATAAAATAAATCTGCAAATCCTGTCAGCTCTCTCTTCAAAATATACCCAGAAGCTGAACTATTCTCTTACCTCCACAACTATTCCCGGGGCCCAGAGCTGCCATCTATCACCTGGACTTTCGTGACAGCTTCCTAACTGGAGCCCTGGTTCTACCTTCCAGGCAGAAGCTAGAGTGAGCCTTTTAAAAACTAAGTGTGATCATTTCACTCCTCTGCAAACCTCATGGTGGTCTTCCTTCTCATGTGGGGTAGTTTCCAAGGTCACCACCACAGGCTTTTAAACGGCCTTACAGGATCTGCACACCATCACTCCCAACTTCTCAGACCCGCCTGCTTCTGCTTTCCTCCTCCTTTGCTTCAGCCACATTATGGTGCTTGCTGACCCTTGAATATGCCCCCATTTTAGGACCTGTGCACTTGCTATCCCCTCTACTAGAATGAGTTCCTCAGACATCTACATGGCTCTGTCCCTCACTTCCTTCAAGTCTTTGCTCAGATGTCACCTTTCCAGAGAGGTGTTCCATGATCGTCTATGTAAAATAACACCCTGCTCTCTTCCTTGCCCTGCTTTATGTGTCTTCACAGCACTTACTACCACCTGACATATACCCAGTCATCTGTTTATTGTCTTTCTCTTGCCACAAGAACGTAAGTTTGATTCACTGCTGTATCCCAGCATCTAGCAGGTGGTGCTCAATAAACTTTTTTTTTAATTAGAATGATTTAAAATTGAGGGATTTCATATAAAAATTTATATTTCTGGCATGTCTTCAAAAACAAGACAATCTAGTTTCATGTGACCCACGTTCTTACATGACAACAGTCTGCTGGAGCTGAACTGGGGCTACCTACTGCCCTTTAGCTTAACTGTCCTTCTGCTAAATAAAGTTTTAAAAATTTATTTTAAAATTTATTTTAACTTTTTATCAACAAATATTTATGAATAAATGAATAAGTATGATGACACTTCCATAAATATTTTCAAGGATATATAGAGACATATAAATACACAAAGCATTCCTGGAAGAATATAAAAGAAACTTAATAGTGGTTACATTTGAAGACTGGGAATGGGAGTGAGGATAAGAGGAAAGGACCTTTGGTTTTTATTTTGTATTTTTCTATACTATTTAAATTTCTAACCATACGCATGCATTATAATTTTAAAAACTAAAATTTTGAAGTTGAAGTTGATAAATACAGATTCATGTATTTTTAAACAGTAGATCTATATGTGCTCTTTTGGATCTATCTCCAAAATACACTACACAGAAACACTCTGAAATATTTGCACATAAGAAAAAAAACTTCACAAGGATAGAGAAGTAACAATTACCTTAGGGTAACTTCTGGAAAATGAAATAGGTGGGGAGTGTAGACTTTCACTTCTCATTTTATAGCCTCAAGAATTATTTGATATTTTTAATCATGTGTACTTACTGTCTTAATAATTTTTAAAAAATTATTTACCTGATAACCCAGGCATTTTCTTCTTCTATCAAAAATGGGAAGAGTTGGGAGAAGCTGTGTAAGAAGAAAGATGTACCCTCTTTCTGTCCACTCTTCCATTCCTCCCCAACCCCTCTTGCAAATCCACAGAAGAAACTGACAGCAAGTGCAAGGTGGCTCTAAGGAGCTCACACCATACAGAATTTTAAATATGTAATAGTAGCCTCTAAAATAGTGAAATATGGGGGCCGGCCCAGTGGCGCAAGAGGTTAAGTGCGCACGCTCTGCTGCGGCGGCCCGGGGTTCGCACTGACGCACCTCTTGGCAAGCCATGTTGTGGCAGCGTCCCATATAAAGTGGAGGAAGAGGGGCACAGATGTTAGCCCAGGGCCGGTCTTCCTCAGCAAAAAAAGAGGAGGATTGGCAGATGTTAGCACAAGGCTGATTTTCCTCACAAAAAATAAAAATAAAAAAAATAAAAATAAAAAAATAAAATGGTGAAATATGTTTCCACAGCTGACCCAACCTTAAGGGGTCACTAGGTGTCAGAGCCACTGTTTAGAACCCCTGGAATCGAGCCTTCATTCTCAACAACTCACTGAAACTGCAACTTCAGCACCAGTGATTTCTGACTGCCAAAAGTAACCTCAGTAACTTAGTCCACACTGACTTCTCCACAACATTTGAATCTATGGACCCATCATCGCCTTCACTCCCACTTAGAAATCCCAGAGATATTTGTGACTTTTCCCTTTTCCTCATCCCCATATTCCTCCACTCATCTAGGTCTATTATCATCCTTTTAATGTTTCTAGCATCTACTCCTTTGAGTATAATTTGTCTTAACTCTGGTTCAGGTCCTTATATCCTCATGTCTACAGAACAGCCTTAGCCTCTTCAGTTCTCCCTACTTTTGGCCTTCCATTCCTTAAATGTAAACTTCATGAGGGCAGGGACTTTGTTTACTGTATTCTGTTCATTGCTTTATCCCTCGTGCCCCTGGACAATGCCCAGCACATAGCAGGAGTTCAATAAATATTTGTTGAATGAACATACACAACAGATGGCTGCCAGATTAATCTTAATCATTCTCCTGTTCAAAACCTTCAAGGAAATACCTATGCCTACAGAACATCCTACCATTCAAGGCCTTCCACAGTCTGGACCAATGCACCTAGCAAATTGTTATCTCATTGTCCCTTCACATTCCATCTGGATGTTTACATTTGTAATAACACCCTTACTCACACTGTTCTTTCTGCCTGGAATGTTCTCCTCTTTCTTCCTACCTTTTGAAATCCCATTAATCCTTCAAGGTCCAGCTATTACACTGCCTCCTCATGGCAATCCTCTCAAACAAGCCTGGTTGAAGTGAGTTCTTCCTTATAGAGCATTTACTGTCTATAGTGCTCATTTGATGATTTAATATATGTGACCCTTGTGAAAATCGTTTATTGCTATCTTGCTCTGCAAACTACTTTTCCATATGCATGTCCTGCCTTCTAACGAAATAAATTGATGGCAAGGATTTTTATTCTTTTTAAAAAATTAATTTTTGAAAAGGTAATGCATAAATAAAGTTTAAAAATAAAAGGCACATAAGAATTTAAAGTGAAAATTAAGTCTCTTCCCAACTCCTTTCCCCCAGACACCCAGTTTTCTACCCTGGAGACAATAGTTATCAGTTTCTTATGAATTCTTCCAGAAACTGGCTATGTATAAGCACATATGCATAGATAATCTTTTTTAGAAAGCATAAATGGTAGCATACCAAAAACATAAAACAGAGCTTATGATAAATAGCAAGTACTCAATACATATTTGTAGATGAATGAATAAACTTTTCTATACCTTGCTTTTTTACTTAACATATCTTGATTTCTTTTCATAGCAATACTTATAGAACTGCATTATTTTTCTATAGCCACATCCTATACCATTGTATGGATGTACTATAGTTTATTTGTCCAATATTCTCTTGACAGACTTTTACATTGTTTATAATCTTTTGTCTTGGGAATAATGTTGCAATAAGAAACCACGCATACACTTCTGCAGACATATATTTACCTATACTGGAACAAGAAATTTCTAGACAAGGGCCACTGGGCAATGATCTGCATTTGATAAATATTGTCAAGTTGCTCTCCATAGATATTGCGCCAATTTATTCTTCTCTAATAATATATGAATGACTATTTCCCTGTATCCTGTACCCCTTGCAAACACACTGTCAAAGTTCAAAAGTTTGATAAAAAAATCTGGTAGGTTAAAAATAAAATTTACTTTAAAATTAAAATTTTAATATTATTCTAAGGTTGAGCATTTTTTTCATGTTTAAATATTTTTTTCTCTGTGAAAATTATTCATGATTTTTGGCCATTTTTAAAATTCAGTTATTCATCTTGCTCTTAATTATCTGTAGAAGCTTTACATGTATTGTAGAACTTAGCCCTCTGTCTGTTATATGCATCATAAATTTTCTCTAGTTTGTAGTCTTTTTTATGATGTTGTTTATATTTTTTTTCTTGTGGTGTTTTTTTATTTTTATGTAGTCAAATTTACCAGTTTTTCCTTCTATAGCTCCTGGGTTTTTTCCCATACTTAGAAAACCTATTCCACAAAAAGACTATAAAATTTTTCCTTATTTTTTATGAACTTTCATAGATTCATATTTAATATTTAAATATTTGACTGACCTGAAACTTGTTTTTCTTTAAGGAATAAGGTGGAAACCCAACTTTGTATTTTCCCAGTTTCCCCAACAACATTTATTAATCAATCTTTTCTCCATTGATACGAAATGGCACTTTTATCACATACCCACATTCCCATACAGGCTGAATCTATTTTGATTTTCCACTTAAAGCTCCATCCACCAGTATGTGTTACTCATATGCTAGCCACACATTATTATAGTAGCTATAAAGTGTACATAATATCTGAAGCAGCTGTTTCCTCTTTCCTTTTTCGGAATTTTCTTAGGTTTTCACATATTTTTCCAGATAAACTTTAGAATTAGTTTGTGTGGTCCCTAAAACAGACAAACAAAATCTTACCAGAATTTATTAGGGCCCCTTTAAACATAGAGACTGGTATTGGGAGAGCTGACATCTTATAACATTTAATCTCTCCATCCAAGAATGAGGTATGTATTTCATTTATTAAAGCCTACCTTTGTGTCCCACAGTAGCATTCTAAGGTTTCTTCAATTAATTTATCTTGCGCATTTCTTCTAAAGTTTAAGCTTAGGTGTTTTTCTCTTTTTTGTTGTTACTGTAGATGAGATCTTTTCTTCCTTCACATTTTCTAAAGGATTGTTGTTTGGATAGAATTTCTGGATACTAATTTTGTATCCAGGAACCTATACTGTTTAAAATTTTTAGTGTTTCCCTTGGGTTTTCTAAACATATAATGAAATCATTGGAAATTAATAATGTTTACCTTTTTAATTACTCTACGATCTATCTCTTTCTAACGGCATACTTTACATCTTTATCTGGGTTCTGACATTAATAAAAATGCTTATAATTTTTCCCTGTTAAGCATCATGTTGGCTTTTGAGTTGAAACATACATATTTTATCACGTTATGTTACGGAAGTGTCCATCTAACCCTACATTATTAAGAATCACTTTTCTAATCAGGTAGGGCTTTTTATTCTCTTCCCAATCCCTGCTGCTGTCTTAAACATCATTAAATTTTGGACAACATAAAAAGAAATACTGTTAAGAAATCACCAAGCTATTCCAATTAACGTCTTTATCAAAAACAAACACGAATCAAGATTCACCACTACTATTTCATGAAGAATCTACTTCTTACCTAAAATATGGCCGGTGGGACAGTGGCATTTGCCTTCTGTAGTTAAACCACTAGGGCAGGAAATGCAGTTCCAGCCATCTTGAGTAACACCTTTCTAAATTAAAAAAAAAAAATTATTTTCTCCTTAACTGATTATATAAGTTCAAAAAGCCACAATAGTGTATAATTTGTAGTTAATATTCAAATAAATCATAAACATATGAGCCACATAAAAATTTCCTGGATAGCCAATTTGTACTTATATTTCCAAATGGAGCTATACATTATGACTATGTACTGATGACTATTAACTCTGGCCAATAATTCTTTCTTCTTCATGATTTTCAGTTCAAATGAGTCCTTACTTTCATAATTAATATTGTCATTGAGTTTTTCCATTTATAAAGATAAAACAACAAAATTCAACAAGATTTTATCAATAGATAGCCAATTAATAGGTTAGTCTTATTTGTTCTAAAATAATTATTCTAATTTTTAAAAATTCAAATACCTTAGCTTTTAAAAACTGTTATGATTCAAAATGGGTGAATTTTATGGTATATAAATTATATGTAAATAAAGTTGTTAAAATTAAATTATGAGGATATTTCCTCCTATCCATTAATAGCTTGTATTAATAAAGGTTTTTGATAAAATATGACATCATTCAAAATTGGGCTTATTATATTACATTGTTTAGGAAAAACCTGGGGAACATACAGTAATTATAGTACAAACATGGATGTAACCAAAATTAACGGAGAACAATGGCAATAACAAAACAATGCCACAAATTATTTTAAATTTTGGTTGAAAAGACTGAATGTGTTCATAATTAAATTCACTCATCTACTTTTCTTTATAACTGAGTTACTCTAAGAGGAAAAATAGACACAAATTTTCAAAGCTTTTTGGTTTTCTGGATTCCAGATTTTAAAAACTAAAGCAATACATTTCTGTTTTTTCTAAGTTTGCATAAAATTTCACTTATCTCCCAAAATCTATTCAAACAAAAACAAAGTTAGCTTAATAATTGTAAAGTTTGTGGGAAAATATTAGAGTACAGCATCTAGTCATAGTTTAAAAAATAAAGACATTTAATTTACTTTTTACAGTAAAATTATTTAAAAATAAATACTCCATACCATGTTTTCTGGGCACTTTTTACAAATAATATCAGGTCCTCCATTATTAGAGATCATCTGAAATCCTGGTAGACACACACATGAAGTTCCTAAAAAGAAAAGAGCCAACTTTGACCTTGGTAAATAAAAATAAAATTCCAAGATAGGGAAACTTGTAATAATTCTTAAGATCTTGAAAAGCAGCATAGTAGTTAAGAGCAAGACTCTGGAGCCAGTACTGCCTTGGTTCAAATGCAGAAACATACTCCTTGGGTTCTAATCTTGATTCTGCTACTTGGTTGCATAACCTTGAACAAGGTACTCAATTTCTCTGTGCCTGGGCTTCCACTTTGGCAAAATGAGGACAACAGTACCTACCTCACAGGGTTAGGATGAGTATTAGTTACGTATGCATATGTATTAGTTACATGTCAGTATGTAAAGGTCTTAGAATACGTCTGGCACACAGTAGGCATTGTGCTTGCTACCATAATAACTAAACTATTAAATTACTGGATTAAACTAATAAACTATTGATTTATTGCTATGGGAAATTTTACCTTTCTATTTCACCCAATCATACACATATATTCAATGAATTCAAATTTACTTTGTCAGAACAAAACCTTATTAGGAAAGTTACCTTGATTAGAGTAAAAATCACTGTTTTCCTCTGTTTGGACAGATAGTAAACATTATAAGATAATCACTATTCAACTTGCTGGGTAGGTAAGGACGGCATTTTCTAAGGAGGCATTAAGTGGAAACAGCACCCACAGGAATCTATGTAATAGAACGCATATGATATCTGGGTTCATAATGCTTTCTCATTCATATTTCCTCAGCTGCCGAGCCTGACCTGTCCTATACAATGAATTGCATGAGGATATATCACATTTGAAGATGGCAGAAAATTAATACCACGGGTGACTAAATCAAGATTAAAAACATCTTAGACTTTAGAATACGGGAAAAGTCTTATTCTGAGCAGTGCAGGGAGGAGAACTAGGATCAAATGATGGATGTATCAAGAAAAAAAAATAAGCTTAATCTAAAGAGACTTTAAGAGCAATTAGTAATATTCAACAATAAAAGGGATAAGTCCTAAGGAAATCTATAATATTAAGGACACACTATAGAGTGGAAATACAAAGTTGGAGACTGAGAGCAGAGAGACACTTCCAGAGTCCCCCAGTCCTAATTTAGGCGACACAGAAGACATTACAACATCATCTGGGCTTCAATTTCCTAATCTGTAAAATGAGATGACTGGACCTGATCATGGTTAAGGTCCCTTCCAGCTCTCAGTTCCTGGGATTTGAAAAGCAAGATGACGGGCTATTCAAGTTCACACGCGCTAATTTGCATTCCCTTCCCAACCTGTCCTGTCTCCCGCTCCTCTGCACCTCAGGTTACTCCTCCATTTCTTTTCTACCTTCGGGGGGCGGCTTTCCAGGTGCCTCTCTAAAGACCCCTCGGACGAGGAATGGGGGACTGGCGACGGCTCACAGGGTTGCGGGCTCGGGATTCCCCAACCTCATCACCGTGCAAGCTGCAATCCTCAAAGGGAACCCTTCTCTCAGGCGCCGGCGGTTACCTTTCCTGAAACATTCTTCCCGCAGATGAAACGGTGTTCCAGCGACGCCGGGGTCTGGGAGCAGCGCCAGGGCGGCAATGTTACTTTCCAGAGCCCACCCCAAACGTCTCACCTCGGGAGTCCTGCCTCTGATTGGCTCCACACGAGACACAGGAGAGCGCGGAGATATCGAAGTACTGGTTGTGGCCGCACGTCTCCGGCTGCCGGAAAGGTAAGGAGAAGGTCTGGGCCTGTGAGAGGCGAGGGAGGACCAACAGGAGGAGCGCAGTCACAGCCACAGGGGAAGAGGTGGACCAAGCCTCCATGGCCGCCGCGGCCCCACCGCCGCCCGTCACCATGGTGCAGACGCCGGCGGCGATCAGCCCCATCAGCCTCTGCGGCGAGTCCGCGGAGCCGATTGGACAACTCCCGGCCTGGGGTTCCGGAAGTATCTGCCTGCACTGCCTGGTTGCTAGGTTACCAAAGCCCGGAAGCTGCCTAGTCCGAGAAAGGATGGGTTGGAGGAAAGCTAACCCTGGATCCTGCAGGCGCGACCGCCTGTTTCAAAAGGTTGTTTCAAACTCTGGGACGCGACCCATTAGCGGGACGTGAAATCAATTTAGGAGGTCGGGAAATAGGATACCACAGCAAAGAAAATATCTGATTGTACCACAAAATTAAGAGTATTGTTTCATTAAACTGTTGAATGATGATTACCTCAGAATTTATCCAGACTGGGTCGTGGTGAAGGAGACATTCCATCAATGTATTTGTCAAAATACATTTGTCAGGGGCCGCCCCGTAGCGCAAGAGGTTAAATGCGCGCGCTCCGCTGCGGCCTGGGGTTCCTGGTTCCGATGGATCCCTGAGTGTGCACGACACACCGCTTGTCAGGCCATGCTGTGGCTGCGTCCCATATAAAGTGGAGGAAGATGAGCACGGATGTTAGTCCAGGGCCAGTCTTCCTCAGCAAAAAGAGGAGGATTGGCAGATGTTAGCTCAGGGCTGATCTTCCTCACAAAAAACAAAACAAACAAAAAATACATTTGTCAAAAACGTGGGGAAAACACCTATTTGAAATATGCAATGCTGGAAGATTGGCTCAAGCACTAAAAAAAAGATCTTCCTGCCAGACCTTTCTTTGTGTTTCTACTTTCCTTGTTTTGAGGATAGGAAATAATGTATATAAAATGAAATAATCTTTACACTACTTGTTAATAAAGAAGGAACCTAATTTTTTAAATCAAATTTACACATACATGAATTTTGTCTTTCAAAGTAGGCACCCTTGGAGGCTGTTAGCCCCAAAACATTTTAGAATTACCTTCAGAGCCAGTTTATAGATCATAAAAGAAAATATAGAGATATATATATATATTTTTGTGAGGAAGATGGGCCCCTGAGCTAACATCTGCCAATCCTCCTCTTTTTTTGCTAAGGAAAACTGGCCCTGGCCTAACATCCATGCCCATCTTCCTCCACTTTTATATGGGACGCCGCCACAGCATGGCCTGACAGCAGAGCCTCGTTGCGTGCCTGGGATCCAAACTGGCGAACCCCGGGCCACTGCAGCGGAGTGTGCACACTTAACCGCTTGCGCCACCAGGCCGGCCCAGAAAAAAATATTTCTTAATATTTAAATCTCACTTCTGTTTTTGTTGTATTTTGTTTGTTTGATTGTTGTTATTTTGTCCTCCTCTCCCCTTCCCAATAAAATCAGCCGGCATAATTTTAAGCCACTTTATTCATCAGTAGTAGCTTGAAATGACTTTTGGCTTTCTCAAAAAACAAATTTTGGGGCTGGCCTGGTGGCACAAGCAGTTAAGTGCACGTGCTCCGCTGCGGGGGCCCGGGGTTCGCTGGTTCGGATTCCGGGCGCGCACTGATGCACCACTTGCCAAGCCATGCTGTGGTGGCATCCCATGTAAAGTAGAGGAAGATGAGCATGGATGTCAGCCCAGGACCAGTCTTCCTCAGCAAAACAAAAGAGGAGGATTGGCAGATGTTAGCTCAGGGCCGATCTTCCTCACCAAAAAAAAAAAAAAAACTGTAAAATAAATTTCCATTAAAAAAACAAATTTTGTAATAAAAATGATAATTTGTCACTATTAAGGAAAATACACACACACACACACAATATTCTCAATGCATGTGGAAAACACATTTAAGGAAGTTACATAACTTTAACCATTAGCTACCATTAGGCCTAGAGTTCCTCATGTGTCCTTCCCCAAAAAAACCAGCATTCACTTAGTCACTAATATCTATGACACAGGAGGTGTATGTTCTGCAAACTCTTCCTTAAAGAGGACTTCTAAAAAATGTTTTTGAGTAATTACCGTGTTGTTGGAGTGACTAATTTGAAGTGGAAACCACTTATCTGAAAACAATTTTTAAAAAACATGTGACTATACAAATGTTAATGGGGACTCAGAAACGGTGTGGTCAGAATAGTTGAGATTAATCTGCAAAAGCTTCCTACAGGCAAATTTTAACTCTAGTCTTCCTTAATGAAGTGCATACTGTTATATGCTCAGTGGAAGGGATTAGGGCAATAATATTTACTCATTGCCTACTATATAATTAAAGCAATAAAAGAGCTCCCATTCATGATGGTCTTCTTTGTGTCCCCCACTAAGCACTGTGCTAGGCACTTAACAGCATTAACCTTAACTCTTCATAATAACCCTTTGAGGGAATACTATCCATTTTTTTGTATCCTTTTACAAAAAAAGAAACTGAGGATCAAAAATGTTACATTTTAGGAAGTGGTGAAACTAGAATCTATCTCCACCTGGCCAACTCCATAACCTGTTATCGTTTCAATCTATTAAGTGGCTTCTTTGTGGAATAGATAGAGAAAAATTTTGGTATATTCTACATGTAGGACAAACCTACTGTCTTTAGTTAACAAGATGATATTGACATAATATACCACAGACAGCTGAATGATGGTTATCTGAGACCTTTGAGTGCTGCATCTAACAAAACTGCCCCAAAGAGCTAAATAGAGATTATTTGTAGCAGAAGGACTAAAAATAGACACAGTTAAATTTGAGATAACTGTAGATACTATAGGTTTGTCTGTATAAATTGCCTATAAGGATAGGAGAAAGAATGTTAGCTAAAGCTGTTAAGCATCAATTGGGACTGTATCATTAGGGATATTTTTGCTACAAGTAATAGAAGATCAGGTAGTTTAAGCCAGTTCACAATGGCTTAAACAAAAATAAATATGAGAAGTCTGGAGGTAGGTGGCTGCTGGTGTTCGTTCAATGATGTCAGATAGTCATCTCTGCAGTTCTCTTGGCTTTTCCCTCCTAGTTGCAATATGAATGCCTTACACCAGATATCAAAATTCAGATTTAAGATGAGAAGAAGGAAAAGAGCTGAACTAGAGATGTTGCGTCTGTCTCTTTAATCAGGAAAGCAAATGTTGTCTCTATGCCATGTGTTGTGCTAAACTTCCTCCATGCATCATTTCAGTCTTTTTAACAACCCTATGAATAGGCAGTACGGTTATACCCATTTATCAGGCTTAAAGACATGCCCAGAATCATCCAGCTGAAATGTGCAAGAGTTATACATAGAAGTGGATGTGACTAGGAGAACATGGTTTAATGTCAGCTTAGGAAGAAGGGTACCAAAAAAGGTGAGAAAGTGGGTTCAAAGAGGATATCAAACGCTTATTGAACACCTAGAATGAGATAGGTACTGTACCATGCCTTACCTACATTATCAAAATTAATCCACTCAACAACCTTATGAAACCTATAGTGTTGTTACCGTCTTTTTATAGATGATTGAATGGAAGCACATAGAGATTTTTTAAAACCTGCGTCAAAGCACAGCTTGTAATTTACAGACACAAACTTTGAATCATGGTATTTTAACTCTTGGGGCTGCTTAACCACATGCCCCCTAACAGTATAAATGCTGCAAAAAAGTCAAGGAGGCTGAGGATGGAGAAAAAGTGTTTGGATTTGGCAATTAGGTGATCATTAGTTACCTTTTAGAGTGCAGTTTCATTACAGTGGTAGGAGTGGAAGCAAGCCATAGAGCAGTAGTGAGAAAGAACAAGCACCAGATAGAGGCTACTCTGAGGAACTTGGCATTGAAAGGAAGGCAAAAGAAGGGACTGAGCTAAAAGAATTTAATTTTTTTTTTTTTTTTTTTTTTAGGATAAGGAGAATATGTCTATAAGTGGAAAGGAAAGGAGTAGTAGAAGAGAGATTCAAAATAAAGAGAGGAATAATTGACTCTCTCTTGAGCTCCTAGGAAGGGGTCAAGGACTAGGATGTAAGAGTGGGAGAAGGACCATCTCAGAGGAGGAGAGTCATTCTTTCACAGATTGGAAGAAAACAGGAAGATGAGTGAATCCATAAAGAAATCCTGGGCTGGGGAGCAAAGAAATAGAGCAAAATCAGTTTCCTGAGTAAAGAACATAGGTAAAAGTAGGAAATATTTTGAAAAGGCAGAGTGGATAATTGGAAGGGAAATCATTTAGAGATGAAAACTGACAGCAAGTCTAGATCTTGCCTTCAAGGCTAAATCCTGTTGGAGCAAGAGCAGATAGAGGACAGGCCAGGATATTTCTAGGGTTAAGGTGAACAGTTTGTGGAGAAGATGAGTGCAGTTTGGTTATGCTGAACATGAGTTGCCTACTTAGGTAGAGAGGTATAGTAGAAATGGATGTCAAGGTGTAGTGCTTGATGAAGAAGTTGGTACCAGAAATGGGAATCATCTTGAGTATTCCAAAGACTATTGTGTTTTGAATCCCCAAGCTGAGTTAAGAGAGACATAATCAACAGGAAAGAGAGCCCTAGGTGAGAAGTCAGAAGGTAGCTCATCTTTGGTAGGGAGTTCAATAATTTTTCAAACATTTATTGAGCACTTGTATGAGTAGACACTTGTTAGGGACAAGAGCTATCTGTGGTGCTTTTCCTCAGGGGCATCTTAATCTAGTAGAGAAACAGACATAGAAACAACTCATTAAAATATGTTCAGATAACTGTTCTAATTGAGACCGTAGAACTGGAAGATGGGATTAACCCTGCCTTAAGAAATGGGAAGGAGATCAATGGAGAAGTCACAGAGGAGGAGATATTGTAGGACAGGACAGGCAGAGGGACCAGCAGGAACAGACCCAGACATATGAGTGAGCGAGCAGACTGGGGAATGGTACGTATCCCCACATCCCTGAGGTGTACAGTGTGGTCAGTGGCAGGAGATGAGGCTGGAGAAGTAGGAAGGAATAAAAATGAAGGCTCTTGAATGCCTATATTTGCCTACCATTTCAAGCTTGTTAGGACTTTAAGCTAGGGAATACCATGATCAGATTTGCATTTTAGAAAATATCTTGGAGGGCCCG